TGACAACAGGAAAGCATGGCTTAATCCCCAGATCAGCTCCAATTGGTTTAACTGTCACAGCCCTCCACCGGGCTGTTCACAGGGTATCTTTGTCCGAAACAAAGTTTTGTCAACAGCAGTGCCCACAATTCAACAATCTGTAGCATGGGGCACCCTGCAGGCTACGGGGGGTTATCTCTGCAGACTCTGGAGCATAGTAATATGTTGCTAAACAGTGTCTATCTCAAACGTTTTTTTCCTGGGATTAGTACCCAGCTTGTTACATCAGCTGGGTATCTTTGTCTTGCAACGGCTCAGTCACCTTTGGCTGGTTAGAAATGTGCTTGTACATGCATACTGACAAAACCCCTACTCATGCAGCACCAGCTCATGCATCTTTCACCCTGGGGAACTTTTGTGCCCAGTAACACCAAGCCATCTTTACAGGAAACCACTTGTGACATACCTACCCCTCCATTACTTTTTTCCTGTTTTTCACTACAAGCTACTTCATTTCAGCAGTACAGTTTTGCCCTGGCTAATTTCTTCCTAGTTGCAACAGATACTTTAACATAGAAAATTTATGACTTTAGGTCTCAAAATGAAGACATTACTAGCATTAAAATAAAGCCTAATTAATTGCTAACAAATCCTCTGTATGTTCACCAGTTCATTCTTACCACTCATTAAATGTTTCTGTTTCGCAGGGTTTTTTAAACTCTCCAGTCCATTGGTTTTTAAGTGTTCACACCTCTGTTTCAGGTAACTGAAACTGTATAAACTGACATTAACAGAAGTTGTTTAAGTCTGCCTCAGAAAAGTATATGCAGTTTAAGTGATCTGAAAACTCAAGAAAAAACTGCTGAGGTACCAGAACTCAAAGTTCTCCTGCACATGCAACTGTTCCCCGAGTTTAATGGGGCGGGCACAGAACAGAGAAGTACTTTAATGGACACCACTACGAACAATAAGTTGTCTAGCTAAAGTCAGTAACTTTCAGGGAAGACAAATCCAGTATGCCCTGGAGTTCAGATGCCAGTGAATATACAGGAGAAAGCAATAACCAATCTTTATTAATTTGCATTTAATACTGCACCAGAAAAAAATAGCCACTTGCAAAGCAAACATCCCCCTCTTAATATTCAACTCTTCTGTTCATCTTATTCATTCTTCAGTTTTGAGGCTGTACCAAACTGCAGTTGCCTATTATGTTTATGATGCTCTCCTGGATAGCTTCTCTTTGAAGTTCAACTATTTCCAGACCTGTATTATATTAGAACTTTGAGAAATTATTTCATAAGGATTAAGAGTCTTCATTAGCAAGTGTATATTTGAACTGACAACACTTGTACACAATTTAACATCAAGATGACAACAGTAATTTTAGATTAAAACCAAGCTCAACTAAAACTTTGACAGTTCACGATGTTTCTTTGGGAAGTCCACTCATGGTTGGATTAGTGAGGCATACAGTGAAGCACAGAACACGTGGGAGAACAAGAAAGCAGGGTTGTGGCACCTGTATGTTTACAAGGAAAAGGGGAGACTTATACACCCGACTGCTAAAAAAACATGTCAAATGGACAGTGACAGAGCAAGTCAATCTGCCTATGTAAATCAGAAAAGGCAAAAAAGTTGCTGCAGTAGAAGAAAGCACACCCATATCTTAGTGTTCAGAGCATCCAAGTAAGACATCGAAGTCCACATTTTTTTCCTGAAACTCAGTATTCTCTCATACTTCTCACCAAGTTGTAAAGATAAAAAACAAGTCTAGTTTAGGCATAGCATATGATGCTACAAAACAAATGAGAACCAATAATTCATTGAACTTACTGCATTCAGCCTGGATGGCTCAAGAATCTGAACATTCCCTGAGAACCAGCAGGCCACATCCATGCTTATACCACTTAGTCCCAGCTCTCCCTGTGGCCCACACAGTATTCCTATGGCCCCAAGACAGTGATGTTTCTCCCTCAACCCACCAACTGCTCTATCAAAGCCTCTGAAGTCATACAAGGGCTCTGCTGCAGTCACCAGGGAAATATTTTACATCAAGCTGATCATATGCACTGCATGCCCTGAAGCATGGCAGAAGGGTTGTATGTTGAGAAAAGTAAGGCTACTTCATTACTTGGTACAACTGTGTAACAGCAGGAACAGTCCAGACTGTGCAGCCTCAGCAACACTGCCTTCTGAGAGAAGACTCTGGAGCAAACCAACCCAGGACTTCAACAGCTGACAAACTGCTGGTGTAGCCCTAAAGAAATCCAGCAAGCAAGCTGACAGTCTAGAGCAGTACAGATGTCTGACTGAGGGCCCCTGCTTCCCCCCCCGCAGCATAGTGAAAAGCTAGATGATTCAAAGTGTCATGCTGCTGAAAAGCACAAGATCAACAACAGTAAAACACACTGGAAAACCCATCTAGAAACAGTATGAATGCTCAGCAATTGCTAAAGCTCATCTCCTTCACATGACTTTCAGGAAGCAGCATCCTATTGTCCCCACTTCCCCTCCACCATACTATCTATCTACTTGAGGACAGTTCTGAAAAGCATCCAAAAATTGACTGAAGGTAGATTTATAGTTCTCTAATATGTTGAATTCCCAAGCTTATACTCAGAGCAACAAGGACATCCCCACGTGGGCTCTGCTTTGCCATGTAAACTGGCAACGTGACCAACTTTCTTCTGTTACCCTGAGTGCACTAGACACCAGTGCATGGGTTTGTCCCTCCCATTAATTCCTTCCCAGGTCTCCTACACAGACATGTCAACTTTTACATCCTCTCTTCCCCCTTCAAATATTCATTAGTATTATACTCTAGCACTTGAGGAAGACAGTGAAATTTGCAGCAATTACTATTTTCAGTTGACAGTGTAGTAAGAGAAATCAGGTCAGATTAATTTTAGAGTTCTATAAGGATCTTATACTCAGAGATGCTTCTACATGCCAGTTCAGTTACCGCCTGGAAAAGTTATACAACAGGAGACAGTTTTCCAGAAAGCTCCTGAAACATGCCAAAAGACAGGTATTTTAACTCTGGAAACCACTCCTTTAGAAGAGGCTGTCAAAGCAAATGATCACATAAGACTGCAAAGGGGACAGTTTGAGAATTGACATCTCACATTGCTTTCAGACTCAAGGAAATGCAGGAAAGCAAAATGAAGTCACAGAATCAAAGAAAGGCAACCTTTAAGTCTTCTAAATCCTTTCTACTTTTAGACATTTACCTTCTAATTATTCAGAATTTGTGTATCCTTGAAACTATCTTTTTAGGGGAACTGAATACAAGCTTAACCCAATACAGAGGAAGAATAGCACCAGAGTAGTAAATTACCAATTTGGCTAGCTGAGATCAATGATCTCAGCACAACAGGTTATCTGGAACTGGAATCTTTATCAAATTGTTCAAGAATATAAAAGGACAAGTAGCTAAAACCAGAATAAGACAGACTGTACAGAACCAAGAGACAAGTAACATCTTTTTCTAGACACATCAAGAATAACAAAGTAACTTTCATCAGAAAAAGCCAGTGTCACATTTGAAAAGCTGACTGAAATATATTACGAACTTCAGAGCATGACTGGGAAAGAAAGAAACATAAAACTACTCATGCCAGCTTACTTGTTACCTTAAGTCAGGCCCCAAGTTTACCAGTGTAGTTGGTGTACACTATTTTTATATACAAAATACATAAATATAGAACTGTACATACTAATAGGTTCACACAGAATAAACCTACAGAGACAAAAATTCCAGCAGGCAACACACCCACGTAGGATCTGATTTTCCTCCTAATGTGTCAGTTCTCTCTATGAAAGAACACCAGTACAACTTAAAAATCCTTAGACAATTCTCATGTTAGGAGTGTGGCCAACTGAGGTGCTTAGCAGAATCACAGAATTGTCTAGGTTGGAAAAGACCTTGAAGATCATCCAATCCAACCATTAACCTCACTCTGACAGTTCCCAACTACACCATATCCCTCAGTGCTATGTCAACTCTACTCTTAAACACCTCCAGGGAAGGGAACTCCACCACCTCCCTGGGCAGCCCATTCCAACATCTAACAACCCATTCTGTAAAGAAATGCTTCCTAATATCCAGTCTAAACCTTCCCTGATGCAATTTGAGGCCATTACCTCTTGTCCTATTGATGATTACTTGGTTAAAGAGACTCATCACCATTTCTCTGCAACCTCCTTTCAGGTAGCTGTAGAGGGCAATGAGGTCTCCCCTCAGGAGGGGGACACCCAGGACAAGACAGAACAAATTAAAGCTTATATAGCTTAACTCCAACCCTGAATGACACAAAAGTAAAGAGTTCAAAAAGGACAAAAGCAGCAACTGCCACAATGTATGTCAAGAACAACAATTAAATAACTGGAAACTGAAGGCCATTCAATGAAGGAAATATATAGGCCAGATAGTTAAATGTATGCAATAATTAACCCTGACACTTTACAGCAACCTCAGAAAATTGAGTGAATATGGTTTTGCTTACTAGTTTATCCCAGTAGATTCTGCTTTTGAGTGTCACTAAGGACACCAGCCACCTTTGTCATGCTGTTACTTCAGTAGCTGCTTGAGAATTTGAAGCATATAACGAAGTGTTTAAAAGCACATACAATAAGACAGAAAATTTTCATAATTCATATGATAAAGATTAGACTTGAACATATTTAGACATTCAATTGTCAGAAAAATTGCAAATACATTTATCTGACTTGAGTTGTCCTGAATCTGGAAGGACTGGCCCTAAGACCAAGACACCATATAATGTTATGCATCAATACAGCCCAGACTTAACCAATTCAACTGTTCCAATATCCAAGCTGCAAGATGTTACAGACCTTATCAACAGTATTCTGCTTTATTTTAGTCACTTCATACACAAGGCTAGGCTAGTAAAAGAAGTTTGCCCTGCCTGCATCCCAGGAGATCCAATAGATGGAGAAATAAGTATCTGTAAGGAATTAGAGAAACAGAGTCTATAGGAAGGAAAAGAAAATCCACTCACCTGCCATTTTTTTTAATGTAGGTTGCTAAATAACCATGGTCTTCCCAGTTATGAACTGTTTCTGTCATTCCCTGCTCCTGAAAAATGGGCTGTAGAGCTTTAAGAACGGCATTGCAATCAGCTGTAAGATTAAGAAAAAAAATAATCAGCAAGGATTTTCCACTCCAATCAGTTTTGCCTTTTTTCCTTTAAAGGCTGAACAGTTTTTACTGGCAGCCTGGAGTACTTTGAGTTCCATCTGAGAAACAGCTTTCATGTACCCTCTCCCCTCCATCCCAAGAGATATTCCTCAGCGCATGGGGATTCAAACAATTCTCTTTTAAAACAGTCTTTATACCCGAGCAAAAGTGTTTATCTACAATTGATATATTACGAGTACCTGTATTATGGCCACTATTGGTCACCTACTGACTGTATCGCAATCCAAGCAAGTCCGTTACTCATGTAATTCTTTTTATCACCTGAAACAATCCCAGAAACAAACGACAGCACTGTCAAGAAGCTTGGTAGTTTCCCTGTCTTACAGCTCAACTTTTTTTCCAAAGGCACTGAAAACTAGACAGGGCAAAGTAGCCTACCCACACTGCCCTACAGAAACATCCTTTTTCTAACATCCAAGATGTTATTTCAGCTGAGGGCCTGCTCTATCTCCATTATGCTCTGGAAAAGACTTCTGACTCATAAGAACACACAAAAATTCACCTGGAAATAACTAAGTTACTCTGGCAATTATCTGCAAAAGCAAGCTGATGATCCATCCACAAAGGTACTTCAGTCAGAATGTGCTGATTTCAGAAGCTTCTACTGGTTTGCTGTACATATTAGTTTTGTGGGGTGTTTTTTTAAAAAGTAATCTTCATTACAACAACATTAGATGCTCCATTCAAACAAGTGACCCAAAAACAAACTGCAAGTTTTGTCAGTTGATTTTGGAATTGACAGGGCAAGTTAGTGAAAGATGCTGGTAAAGCTGCACCTACCAGAACAGTAACAAAACTGGCAAGACTGTCATACCAGTTAAGTGTGTCAGTGAGAGGTCTACATAATATTAATCTACAGGGTGTACCAGTGAGGCAAATATTTTTTCTTCACAAACATAAACCTAAGTCACTACAGTCATGTAATATGTCAATAATGTAACTAGGATTTAGACTTCTATCAGAGAAGTCACCTGGCACAGTCACATTAGAGGCAGTTTATAACCAGATGCTTCAGTACCAACACATTGTTCCTCCTTCCCTAAGCTGTTAAGTTATAGGTCATTATTTTGTTTTACTCCCTGTCCCCAAATGCATACACCTTGGAAACCAGTAAGTATAGCCTGCAGACATCAGCAGCTATAGTTTCCAGGATGTTATCTATCTGTACAAGCTTCAAACAAACAAAAAAAATCAATACCAAGTAAATAAAGTTTGGCTCATCTATCAACTCTACACAACTCTGCAGTAGACTAAACTGAAAACCTGATTGCTTGAAACCTATGTTTGGCAATCTGTAAATCCTGGACTCTTATTATCCCTGTATGTTTTTAAGCAGACAGACCAAAACAAACATACACTTAATTTTCTTCTACAAAGTCAAGAGCAAGCCAACTCCCCAATATCTTGCCAAGGATACTTATTAGAAGTGGAAAGGCTCTGCTTCTTACTCTTTTTACTATCTAATCTTGAATGCATGTTCCAAGATATTTATTTTTCACCTTCTACATCTCACTCATTAACTCCTCATGTTACAAATTATAGGGTAATAGAACCAACAGAAAAAATAAGTTGTAAATGTACAGTCACTGTTGTCAAACAGTTATCACCACTTCAGACATGTGGTTCCCTCTTGTTGTTTGGCATTTGCTTCCTTGTCCCACTCCTTTACCTTCTGCCTCAACTTTTACAAAACCCAATCTCATTTCCTTCTCACCACCACAACTTTAAACAAGAACTTAATAACCCATGACACACCCTTCCATGCCAGCAAATCAGCATGAAACCCTAACTGAACTAGTATGCAACTAACCCCCAGACCACTCCACTTCTGCAGCTACTGCAAGATACTAAAGTAGTAAGATGGAGAACATGCTCTGTAAGAACCAAAGTACTCATACCACATTTAGCCTATCCACTTTCAGCAGCTTCAAGGAATCCTACTAGGTGCATCTTGGCAGAGACTGAAAGACAAATCATCACAGATATTGTTCTGCTCTGTGAACATACTAATCCCTCAGTTGCCCATCATTCAGCAGCAGATTTCTTTGCTAAGCAGCCAGGCACAAGCTTGACTGAGTTCTTCCTATTAAGCGATTAACTTCAGGAAATTAAAACAACAGCATGCTCTTTCATCAGGTCTCCTTTTGGTTATACCACACAAAATTTGCCTTAGAGGGCTAATTAATTCTCTGAAGTTGGAGACTCCTCTTTAAAATGTTTTTGAGGCATCAGTGGTTGCTTGAAGGCATCAGGAAGTTTCAGGAAACTCAGGATGTCTCACCCAAATCCACTTGCCACCACCTCACTCCAAGCTCAGATATGTTGTATAAAGCACTGATAAGCAAAAAGGACAATGGTGATTACAAGTCATAACACCTCTGAATCTACATCAAAATGTTAAATTCAAGTAGTCTTTTTTTGCTATTCAGGACTAAAGCAGAAACACTGGTTGCCAAGCATGAAATACTACTGTAACTATTTGATAATTATTTGCCAGAATGAATGGAAAGGCCTGGTTTCAACTCCACAGAACAGAAACAAAACCACCATGTATAGGATTCAAAAAATACATTTCTCAAGAGTTAATGCCCAGTTAAACCGAACAGTTTTGGAATCCAAGCACACTTGAGGAGATTTTGCAGCAGTTGCAGATGTTTCTCTGAAATTTTAGGAGCCAAGAAGTCATTATTTGACAGTGATCTGTGAACATGAGCACAGCTCAAAGTCCAGAGTTACTGTAAGCACTCAGTCTGGCCTCATGAATAACACTGGCTAGTTTCACCCATATACTCCCAACACTGTGCTCAGTAATCTGCTATTGAGCCAGACTATCTCTAAAAATATTCTGGTTTAAGACCTTCTCATACCAGGGGATTGACAAGGTCTTAGTAAACTATGGGAACAGAATAACTCTCATGTGAAAACATTCACCTCATTTATGACTTCAAATTTTCCTTACCCCGACTTTGAACTATTTCCTCTAGCAAGCATGCAACACAACCAAAACAATAGCACACAAAAGCACATATATGCTTCCAAATCTTCATGTATTTTTCTGTTGGTAGCTACACTTTCAATATAGAAAGGTGAAGGAAAAACAAACAGCAACCTGAATGACTGGCATATTCAGTTCAGAGATGTGTCAATCACTTCAATATATTAAGTCATTGCGTTGTGCAAGACTGAAATTCTCACACATGGGCACTTCACCTGTCAACTCCAATGCCTCAAAAACCTTACAGGAAAAGGAAATGTGCAGAGACAAGGTGGGAGGGTGTCAGATACAACTGCTGAAGGGAACACACCTGAGAAGAGATTCATTTCTAGCCAGGCAAGGTCCCAGGGGCAGTTCAAGAAGAGGGCAGCAGGAAGCTAGGCCTTCAACCTGCTGCAGCAGCACACCTGACTGCTTCTGGCAGCAAGCCCACCAGAGTCAAGTCAGGCCACTCATGGTGCCTCCCTCCACCACCACTTACTAGTAATACAGTAACCAGGCTTACAGGGGTACAGAGGTTCCTCTCATTAATAGACTAATCTGAGGCATTTTTCCAATGCCAATATTTTATCTTAATCTTAATTATGAAAAAACTCAGGAGTTAGGGGTATGCTACAGAAATGCTTAGTGAGCCAAGTGTTCATAAATATTAAAATCCAGAGCTGAGGAGAAACTTCAGGCTCAAGTGCCTGTGTTTCACATGTCCTAGATTTCCTTTAGGCACTAACACAAATGAAGACATTTTTAAAAAGGAGACAAAAAAGCACTACAGTTTATGGAAAGCAAACAGCTTCATCCTACTAGCTCCCTCCAGTGACCACTATCAAGAGAAGCTTCCATAGAAATACCACAAGCTCAGAGTTGAGAATGACAACAGTTGCCTAAACAGGTTCTTTTCCTTCAGCAACTACAAAATAAACCTATGCCTCAAGAATCAAAAGGACGTCCCCCTCCCAGGACACCCCAACACCCACTTTCATTACTCCTCATGACAAAGAAGCTAGCTTTTGCTGACATGTTAACAGATGCACATGAGAAACAACTGGCTTTAGCAACACACACCTCCTGGGTATTAAGTTTGAAAGTCTGTCAGAACCACACCACCACCTCCAGAAGAATCCTTTGTTTTGTCCTTGACAGCTCTGTGAAAGCATGAAAGAGCAGGAAGCAGAATTATATACCAAAATTATTCCTTTCAATAAACTTGCATCTGGGAGAATCAACCTCCTCAAGTTGACTTATACACAGAGGTCAACAAATCCTGCATGGCATGAGGCTTAAAAAGAGCAGCAAGTGGAAAGTCATCTACTATTTATCTGTCCATGAGAAAAACAGATCAAGTTTCCCTGTGCACCTACTCCATTTTACTATTCTGGGTTACAGAAAGTTAAGAGAAGCCTGCTTTTTTCTGAAGTTTCCACACATCTCCTACACTCCTACTCTGAGGACTTCCACCTACATAGTGAATACAGGCAAATCAAGCTGTAATACTGTGCCACAAGAGCGTGTGCATGAACTTACTAGGCACAGTCAGTCACACAGGGCATCCAAGTGTCATTTTGGAAATTATGGGTAAACCAATCATGAGTCAGAATTAGCTCTCGAAGTATTAAAGATACCCAGCTACCAACAGAATTCAACCCTCATTCTTCCCCTCCACAACCATCACTTTTACAACAGTTCAGACTGCTAAGAGGAATAGACACAAAACACACCCACATAACAAATCTCTCTGCCAGACACTAGGTCTTTAAAGTAGTATCTGTAGCAGTTCTGAGAGCACAATACTTTTCCCTCTTATACCCATCTAAATACTGTATGCTCCTCTTGCAATGATTACCTCTTCTCTCAATGTTCTGCACAAGTTAAACACAACCCACCTCTTCCCTCCCCACACATGCTCCACAGCTACCACCTTTTCCCCAA